CTAACTATTACTTACGACATTCTGGTGTAGATCAGAGGCTCTAGTAAAGCTGATATTGAAAGTAAGATGCATCCATCCCTTAGCAGGGTGAATAAATGGCGTAAGAACATGGGAATGGTCATCAATCATGCCAAAGCCACGGCTATGTTATGCACACTTAACAAAAGACTTGCAGATGAGGACAAACTATTTCATTGCGGCTATTGTTATCCCACTGCGAAAAATATGAAGTACCTCCTTAGGGAACCTTTGACAAACAACTCAACTTCATCAGTAACGTTAACACCATGATATAATAAAAGCTACTAAAATTATCATTGCACTGAAGATTGCAGCATGAAATAGAGCTGAATAACATGGCATACTCCATACTGGATTATGCACTACCGATGATCAATGTGAGTGGTATGTAGCTAGATAAAATTGAAAAGATACGAAATACCTGTTTAAGACTGGTCAGAGGATGCATTTTAGCCATATCTATCAAAGTTTTATTGTGTATTACAAGCTTCAAAAGCATCACAGGGTACCAGCAACGCTTACAAGCAATATTATTCACTAGGGGCTTTCAGGGTAAACGTGCATTCCAATATTGGGCCACTGGTAACATCAATAAAGGAACTCTATTTTGACTTCTGAGAGACAGCTGGCCTTTAGGTAAAGCACAACCCCTGAGATTTTGACCTCATACTCAACTCAACAGTGAGGCAGCATATTTAGTGTACATTCTTCAACGCAGAAAACATCAATAAAGTGGTTCAAAAGACCTTAAGCACGTTATATCAGTCATTTACATTTTCAAATTAACTGTATTTTGATAAATTTCGATCGAAATATTTAGTTCTAATTTTGCTTGAAGTAACACTATTCCCGTTTAGTTATTAGTTTCATAATATAAAATTATTTTAGTAGTCGTTCAATGAACTGATAAAGTTAACGAGAACTGCGCATTTCTTGACAGGCATCGTGTATGGAAGAGCCTCTTAGGCATTGAGCACATGTCTTTAGATATATGTAATTTCGACAATTTATACTCGAGAATTTGAAAACTGGTAAAGAGAATTATAGCAATTTTTCATTACGTCAGCATTCTTTAAAGATGTGGTTTTACAAATCAAATCTTTATATACATCAAGGAGCTAACTTTTAAGGTTTGCAGTTTCTTTAACTTCACCCAACGGAGCTATATTGCAATGTAATAGAGAGATTGAAGGTGTTAGTTGACCAACCCACTCATTTTGACGGCTATGATTATGCTCTATATATGTGTATAGTAACAACATGATTATAAGGGCTACGATATTAGTCTTAGACTACTAAGCTTATAAATCTTTCACAGATCCTCCTCCACTCTATGTGGGCGTTGGATTACAATACAATCTTTAAACATACTTCAGAGTAATGCTCTCGTCCACCAGGTGAAGGCTAGATTACGAAAGAGAACCCACTAACCCAGAAAAGCCATTGCACTGAAATATTAGAAATATATCGTAGGACTAGGCATATAAGTGGTAAATGTGATTGCTATGATTTCAGTTTCTCCAGCCATCTTTCTCATGAAAACAACAGTTAATTCCAAAGATTAGCTAGAAGCTTGTGAGCTTTTAGCTTGCGAGTCTCCGTCAGCTTCAAATTATCGTTTATTATACTGTTAATGGTATAAAGAAATACTCAGAGCGTCATTACAATGAGTCTTTTTTTTTTAATTGGAAGGTTCTTGGCACATAAGGACAGTACTTGCATAAGGTATAGGTCGCACACGCTCCTATTCTAAACACGCTGCTGTGCAACCTTTGGCTATCATGGAGAACATTGAAGTCTCTGTTATTAGAATGTTGTGTTTTTCCGGCTCTATGTCGTTCAACAGTTCTAGCGTCTGTATAAATGTTTTCGTAATCTTTTACATCGACAAGTTCTTGTAAAGTGCCGTTACCCTTCAGAATGGATACAATAAATTAAACCAAAATTATCTTTGAAGTTAGTTTCTAAGAAAAATAAATGTTATTACTGTTATCGTGTTTTAACTAAATACTGGAGTTAAAAACAAAAATTTCAAATATCCTTAGTTAACTCGAAGAAAACTTTATAACTTTTCTGCTTTTCCTTTCTTTACAAATATACATCAAACGTGTTATGTAAACTCTGTGAAACATACAGGATAACCGCGACATTTTTTTCCTTTCACTATTTTTGTTATTCTACAACTCATTGTAAAAACTGCCTGTTAATCGTAATACATAGAGAGTTTGTTTGTTTTTTAATTATGCACAAAGCTACAGAATGGGCTATCTGTGCTCTGCCCACCACGGGTATCGAAACCCGGTTTCTAGCGTTGTAAGTCCGCAGACATAACGCTGTGCCACTTAGATTTCCTCAATGAGGATACATTTTTTTTGACAACGAAACTTCTCCGATCTTTTGTCAGTCTGAGTACCAGGCATATTTACAATTCAAATACCTTCATAAATTTAAAACAGACCAAATAACTAGCATAGTGATTAAAGATAACGGAATTTTCAGTCACTCTGTATTTCCCTATACGTCCTTTTTACACACAGCAAATCATATGAAACGCTTATGACTATTCGGAGAATAGTTTTTCTACATTTACTTTTACTTTAAAATATAGCTACGTGAAGTAACTAGAAGATACTTCTACTAAAATCATTGCAACATTAGTGTAAAACACATTAAACACAATGGAGTAGTCGAAAAATACTTCTGTTACAAATATTTTTACTTACAGTAAGTCATATCAAACACAATGGAGTCCTGCAGTTCGTTTTATTACAGTGAATCATATCAAACAATGGAATCCTACAGTTTGTTTACTTACAGTAAGTCATATCAAACACAATGGAGTCCTGCAGTTCGTTTTATTTACAGTGAATCATATCAAACAATGGAATCCTACAGTTTGTTTTACTTACAGTAAATCATGTTAAACACAATGGAGTCCTGCAGTTCGTTTTATTTACAGTGAATCATATCAAACAATGGAATCCTACAGTTTGTTTTACTTACAGTAAATCATGTTAAACACAATGGAGTACTGCCGTTCGTTTTACTTCAAATTAAATTATGTTTCTAAACTCTATGAAGGAGATACGAAAAACTTGTGCTAAGATGTTTTACTTTACAGTAAGTCACATTAGACACTCTGAAATAGTCGGAGGAT